AGGTGCATGGCGCAAAGCACCAATGCAGTCTTGTAATATATATATATATACACATGAACATTCTCTTTGTTTCTTACGGAGCCCGACCAAAAAACGGAGCCGTGGGACGTGTTCTTGTGAGGCACCAGGCATGCCCAGACCTGGGTTGCTCACCCACTGCTGCGTCTATGCGCGGATCGCTCGCCGTCTCGCGTCGCCCCGGCTCGGCCTGGGACCTCCATTCCCCTGCAGGGTTTGGGGTGCTGCCTCCTGGTCTTGCCCTTATCGAATACGCGAGTTGGACATACTCCACATTGTGCGAAGCGGCCCGCTCCTGTCACGCCAGTCATCCCCAGCCTTTCGTCCGGCGGCGTGGGCGCTTGAACGGCAGCACGGATGCTCCTCAATGCGTTGCCTACCTCAAGCCCATCTGGGGGGTGACGTGCGAGGGGCCCAATGGGCCCCTGCACGGCAGGTGCTTCCATCGGGCGGCACGGGCCAGCGACGACGGCGGTGCGCGGCACACGCCGCGACCGCTGCCGCCTCCCAAAAGGCAGATGCCGCCGCTATCTGCCACCTGGTGGCTGGAGGTCGGTACCCGCCCCTGCAAGGCGAGGACGACGCTCCCGCAACGGAGGGCCCGGCTAGCGGGCTCCCCTGGCCCCGGCCCCGCCCGCGCCGCCGGGTGCGCCGCCCACTCTGGCGGCGAGCTTGCTGGTCCCAACAACCCTGGCCCCCCCCCCGTGGCGGCCAACGCTCCGCCGTCGCCTGGCCTCGACGGCGGCCGAAGACCCGACCCCCGCCCGTGCCGACCCTGCTCAGCGCCCTGGCTCGGGCGACGACGACGACCACGACAATCTCGCGGAGGAGCAGGCGACGGAAGCCCGGGGCCCCCCCAGCGCACGTGCCAACGCCTGGCTAGATGTCCTGCCCATCGCCCCGGTCGAGGTCTCGGCCGACAGCGCCACGGACAACCCTGGGGACCGCAGTCAGCCGACGAGTCTCACACAAAGCCAGCCTCTGGCGTCGACCAGCGTCCCCGTTTCGGCCCTGGAGCTGATCGCCTGCGCCGCGCGGGCGGGCGGGGCGGTCCGCGGCCTGGGCGTCGCGAGACAGCCACGGCAGGGGACGCAGACAAGCTGTACAAACGTCCCCCCTGGCTGATCCGCTGGGAACCCCATGTTGGTGAGACACCTGGCGACTGCGTCAAGCGACTCCAAGGCGAGGCTGGGTCTGCGTTTGTCAGTGGCTGGCACGGCTTCTACACGGCGCCAGACTCGGGCAGGCGGCGCGCCACCTCCGACCCTGGGAGGCGATCAGCTGTCCAGTGTTCGGACAACCTCCGAGGGCTTGTGGCCGCTGGACACGGCTTTGTGGAGTGGGCCGAGCGGGAGGCTGTGGTGCTGCCGCGGCACCAGCACGGGATGCGGTCCGCGGGCCGACAACCGGGGAGCTGTGACCCTGGACGTGGCCGCTGCGCACGCCGCTGCGCACCTGGCCCCGGTACCCGGTTCGCCCTACGGTTGTGACCCTGGTCTTCTCCCGCGCTGACTGGGCTTTTCGCCCCCCTGTACCTGGTTCTTCTGGGCTGGTCGGGCTTTCCCCCTTTGGGCTCCCTAGCGCTGGTCGGGTTTCGGCCCTCTGGGCTCCCCAGTGTCCTGTTTCACCAGTCCCGGTCGCTGCTTCCGGGCTGACCCTGCAGAGTCTTCCTAATGCGTTTCGGCAAGGGAATCTGACCCCGAGACAAGGGAAACACTCCTACGACTGTGTCTTTGCCCTCAACACGGCCTTCTCTCTGTAGTGTCCCGACTCTTCACCGGGTGTCACCCGGAATACATCCCCAACTACTCGCCCCACCTTTGCCGTCGTATCTGGTCTTGCATCTGGCCACTTCAAGGATTTCCCCTAGGAGTCTGGCTCTTCGTGCTGAACCCAAATTTTGCTGGCGCTACTCGTTTTCGTGGTGTGCCTGGTCTTTCAACCGTATGGCCCCGAGGACGTCCTCTTCGAGTCTCGTTTCCTTCTCACGAGCCGCAGTCTTGACGCGCCACCAGATCCCCAGATTTCCTAGCGTTCCCAGGCGCCTTCACTTTCAAATTCCTCCACCTCAGCCTGATGGCCCTGTTGCTTTGACGCAAAACGCATGTTCTCCCTCGCCGCTTCCGCGCCGGTCTTCGCGGTCTGATCGGGCTCCTTCTTCCTCCGCTCGCGTTCTTTGCTCTTTCGCTGTCGTGCCCCGCTTCGCCCACTGTGAGTCCCACTGCTCGCTGTGACCGGCGCCTGACGGTCCTGCACCACCTGGCGCCCGCGCGGACTTGAACATGTTTTCTGCTTTTCTGTTCTGTGTCCTGGGGCCCTTCCCCCCAAGGCCAGACTCCCCCCCTCTCCGCTACGAAAAGAATTAACATGACCCCCCGCACACACACAAAGGGAACCTGTAACCCCCACAGGAAAAAAGTCAATCTGAGCGTCCTCCAGAGAGGGAGAGAGAGAGGGAGAGAGAGAGAGAGAGAGAAAGAGCGAGTGGGAGAGCTCTGGGGGGACAGAAGGAGAGAGAGGGAGAGAGAGAGAGGAGAAAGAGAGAGAGAGACACACACACACACACACGTAGGCACACGCACACACACACACACACACACGCACACACGCACGCACACACGCACACACACACACGCACGCACACACACACTTTTAAGTCGGCGGCGCAAAGGGTCCTCAAGCGCGGGCAGCAGATGGAAAAGCTAATTGCGATCGAGCGTTGTCGAAAGCACAGTGTATGAGACGTCACACACTGTAAAGTGCAAGCGATGGCTGGTGAGCAAGAGGGACTGTAATCCCAAACGACACGCGCACACAGGCACACGCACGCGCACACGCACATGCACACGCACACGCACACGCACACGCACACGAACACACACACACACACACGCACTCACTCACACACACCAACAGACAGACACATAGACACACAGACACTTACACACCAACCCACCCATACACCAACACACCAACGCACATGCACCCCCCAAACACAAAAGTCTGTGTAAAGAGAAAAGGAGAAAGAGAGCGAGAGAGAGAGAGGGCGAGAGCGAGAGAGAGAGAGAGAGCGACGAAGGAGAGAGAGAGAGAGAGATGCTTTTTGCACCCCAGGCTTGAAAAACCTTCGAAACGCGGAGGCCGCTATGCCCCTCTACCCCCGCTCGACCGCCTCCCCGGGGTTATTTTCTGACGGCCCGGAGCTCCAAACCAGCCTCCAGCGGCTGAAATCGGCGCAGGACCACCAGCGGCTGAAATCGGCGCAGGACCATCCGTCTGGATTCTTGTCCAAGCCCTCAAGGACGTTCAGGCTGTGCGGGAGTGGCTTATCCAAGGCTGAGCTAACAGCGATGTTGCTTCACGGTGATGTTGGGAACCACAATATATAGAAAATCACAAGCCGCGCTTTCGCACATCTCCTAGCTGCGGATGGATCGAGCGAACACGACACAGCGACTTGTAGGAAAGCGCGAGCCACGCGTTCCCGCAATACCGAAACCTACATCGCCGTTACCTCCATCGCCGTCCGCCCGTCTAACTACGGCCTATAGCCGCGAGTCCGTCTCCGAACAGAGCGCCTCGCTCCGTCGTCCGCCCGCGGGACGTCCCGGTGCAGAGGGCGGCGGGTGCCGCAGCGCGCGGCAGGGGTGGTGTGTCGTGGCAGCGTGCGGCAGCGAGTCGGGAGCGCGTCGGCGGAGTGCGGCAGCGTATCGCCAGCGTGCGGCAGCGTGTCGGCAGCGCGCCGAGGCGCCGCGGCGCGGCAAGCTCGCGCTCGAGCACGGCGTCCTGTGCTGCACCCGCCCGCGAGGTCGCGGGCGGACGGGCCGCGGCGTCACAGCGTGTCTGCGTGCCCGGGCGCCGCGGTGCCTTCTGCGCGTGCCGTCGAGGTGCTGCGGTCAGGGACCTTTGCCTCGCGTGTCGCTCCCGCCCCGCGGGGCGGGATGCCGGGAGGAGGAGGGGGAGGAGGAGGAGGAGGAGGAGGAGGAGGAGGAGGAGGAGGAGGAAAAGGAGGATGAGGAGGAGGAGGAGGGGGAGGAGGAGGAGGGGGAGGAGGGGGAGTAGGAGGGGGAGGAGGAGGAGGAGGAGAAGGACGAGGAGGAGGAGGAAAAGGAGGAGGAGGAGGAGGAGGAGGAGGCTCGTGACCCGCCTGAGAACTAAGACGTGGTCAGCGTGTCGCGCCGAGGCGGCGCGAGGCGCGAAGCAACGAGTCCTGCCCGTGGAGCTTGGCTTGTGTGCGCGGGGATGCATGTCCGACGTCGGCGGCGATCGGAGAGACGAATGCACCTCCTCCGCCCATTCCACCCTCTCCTCCTCTACGGTCGACAACTTTAGCTTAGCGTGTCGCGGCGGCGGTCCCAGCGACACGCTGTGCCCTGCGAGCGGGTAGCGCGTCGCCACGCTCCCGAGGGGCGGCAGGCCGGGCAAGGCTTGGGACACTGATGCTCGGGGACTGGGATGTGGTCAGCGTGTCGCGCCGAAGCGTGGTGGGCCAGAACCGGCGGAGCGACACGCTAATCCAAAGTTCCTGATCGTACCTCTTCCTCCTCCGCATCCTTCTCCCACAAAGCTCGACCCCCCGGACTCATCCTGGGGTGCGTCCTCGCCAGGACCTCGAAAGACATCTAGCCGAGGCGACGAGAAGACCCTTGAGGTCCATATAGGGCGAATGACGTTCAACTTAGGGACCCACGAGCCCGGTAAGGAACTTCTAGGCCCCTCTGGGGCCCCAAATCTGGCGGATATCGGCGCGCTCCCCCATGACGCCGACGGCACCACCCCCAGTTGGGGACATCGGCCAGAATTTGCACGAGCGCCCAAGGATGCAATGCACGCCGAGGCTAATGCCGATGCTAGCTGAAGCTGGTGCAAGAACCGAGGTCAAACGTGCCCTGAAACTAAAGCACTAACGAATGCTGAAGCCCAAAGCTGACGCTCACTTCGCGTGCAGAAGCAACACTCCGGATCAATGTCGAACCGCGGGCGGTCCTCAGAGCAGTCCGCGACCTTGAAGCTGACTCGCATAGCGCTTCGCAGCTTCTCGAAGTCCTCCGCCATGCAGAAGACAGCCTCCTGGGCAGGAGGGGCACTGACAAATCCACACGGCCCGCCGCCCGCAACAACAACACCAACAACACCACCACCACCACCAACACCAACACCATCAACAACACCACCAACAACACCAACAACACCACCACCAACAACAACTGAAACGTCAGGAGGAGGAGAAGGAGCAGGAGGAGCAGGAGGAGGAGGAGGAGGAGGAGGAGGAGGAGGAGGAGAGACGACAGAAGGCTGGAGGAGTTTGCCACTCGCTTCCCACACCACGCAAGCGCAGAGCATGTCGCACTCCATAAAGCGCACATGGCTGGGTCGAGCCACAAAATGACCGACATGCCTGCGGTAGTGCCGAGTAGTGCCAACAGCGGACTGCACAGCAGAGGGGGAGGAGGGAGTGAGGGAGGAAGGAGGGAGGGAGGAGGAAGAAGGGGGAGCGAGGGAGAGGTGGAGGACAGGCCAGGGGTCCCTCCTCTCCTCATCCTTCTTCCTCCTCATCCATCCTCCTCTATCCTCCCCACCTTGTCAGGCTTCTGCATCTTCGATCCTCCTGCTGCTCCTCCACCTCCTCTTCATTCCTGTTCCTCCTCCATATCATCCTCCACCTTCTCCTCCTCCTCCTCCTTTTCCTCCTACTCCTCCTCCTCCCTCTCCTCTTCCTCCTCTCCTCCTCCTCCTCCTCCTCCTTCTCCTCCTCCTCTTTCTCCTCCCCCTCCTCTTTCTTTTTCTCCTCTTCCTCGTCTCCTCATCCCTCTCCCTCCTTATCCATCCTCCTCTATCCCCCCACATTCCCCGTCTTCTGCATCTTCAATCCTCTATCAGCTCCTCGCCCTCCTCTTCATCCTTTCTCCTCCTTAATCCCCCTCCATCCTCCGCCTTCTCCTCGATCCTCCATCCTCCTCCTCCTCCTCCTCCACCTCTTCCTCTTCCTTCCCTTCCTCCTCCTCCTCCTCCATCCTCTAAGAAATTCCTGCCCCTCCTCCTCGTTCTTCCTCTTCTGCTTCCTACTCTTTATCCTCGTTCTCCTCTTCCTCGTCCTTCTCCTCCCCCTTCTCCTCCTCCTTCTCCTCAAGCCTTCTCCTCCTCACCCTCCTCTTCCTCCTCCTCCTCCTCCTCACCCTCCCTTCTCCATCTCTAACCTCCTCCTCCCTCTCCTCTCCTCTCCTTTCCTCTCCTGTCCTCTCCTGTCCTCTCCGCTCCTCTCAACTCCTCTCTTCTTCTCTCCTCTCATCTCCTCTCCTCTCCTCTCCTCTCCTCGCCCCTCCCCTTCCCTCCCCTCCCCTCCCCTCCCCTCCTGTCCTCTCCTCTCCTCTCTCTCCTCGCCTATCCTCTCCTCTCTCCTCTCCTCCTCTCCTCTCCTCTCCTCTCCTCTCCCTCTCCTCTCCTCTCCTCTCCTCTCCTCTCCTCTCCTCTCCTCTCCTCTCCTCTCCTCTCCTCCTCCTCCTCCTCGTCCTCCTCCTCCACTCCCCCCCCGCGCTGACGGAAGGCCGTCGCCGCTGGCTCCTGAGTCTTCTTCCTCCCGCACTTGGCGATGACCTCGGCTCTCGCAAGGAGGGGACACACATCCGGGCAGCGGGGGTCAGAGCACGAGTAGGAGGGTGAGGCTGACGATGATGACGATGCTGACGTCACCGTACATGCATTCTTCGATGCTGTACTGAAGGGAGCAAAGGACTTGTAATTCAGAAGTCGCATGATGCTTCCTAATGGCTGCAACGCTATGCTTGAGACGCAGAAGGAAGGCTCTATACATGTCCCGAGAAGGGCGTCCCGATGGCAACCTACCACATCTGTGCGTGTACGACCCCTTTCCACTTCAATGTTGAACATATCCTCCTCCTTCTCCTCCTCTCCTCGTCTTCCTCCTCCTACTCCTCCTCTCCTCGTCCTCCTCCTCCTCCTCCTCCTCCTCCTCCTCCTCCTCCTCCTCCTCCCCTCCTGCTCTTTCTCCTCCTCGTCCTCGAGTTCTCCTCCTGCTCATCCGCCACCTCCTCCTTCAACGTACGCAGCTCCTCTTTTCCGATTGCGCATGTCATTGTGGGGTCTTTCTTTTGGGGGAGTTCCAGATCTGCTGTGACACGCGTCGGCAGATAGAGAACACAACAGCGCAATGTGAAGGGATGTGCGGGAGGGGTAGGATGTCAGATACGGCTCGAGCGCGCTCAGCTTGCCTCGTCCCCCCTCCTCTCCCCCTCTGGAAGGTTGGGGGCCGGGTGGATTCTTGGACCGCTGGGCCAGGCGGGATACAACTGCTGCCCCAGTTGGCTTTGGAGCTTCAGTTAGGTCGGGCATGTCCTCCTACAGGCGGATTCGGGAGGAGACATAAAACGTGGTCAAAACACGATCAAAAAGAGCCAAGCGTAGTGAACGAAAATCGTCCCCACACTATTCTCTGAGCAGTTTCGACTATTCCTCCCGTAGAGGGACACGCCCGACTTCAAGCTTCCAGCTGCTCCCTCCCTGCGCCCCCCCCCCCCCCCCCCAGGCGGGGGCGCCCCAGACCGCGCTGCGGGCCACGCGCCGCCTCCTCCGAGATCCTCCCCTCCCCCCGTTCGCGGCGCGCGCCGGCGCGCCTCCACGCACTCCTGCATGACCCGCGCCTCCGCCCAGCGCCAGACGACCCGCTGCGTCGCGTGCGGGATCGACCCGCCGCCCGCGCAGGGGATGCGGCGCCTGTGCCGCGCCGCGGCCGAGCGCAGTGGGGAGAGGGGTGACAGCCGTTGTTATTTTTGTTGTTGTTTATTTGTTTGTTTGTTTGTTTGTTTGTTTGTTTGTTTGTTTGTTTGTTTTCTTTTCTAGATATTATTATTATTATTCTTGTTCTTATGCTTCTTCCCAAAACAATTGTTTGTATGTTATTACCTCTTCTACAATTCTTCGTACGATTATACTTAACAAGTTCGGGCAAGTTTACGTGCATGGCCTTCGCCCCCACCACCCTCGCCCCTCTTCATACGAATACTGGCGTGCAAGTGCCTTTCGACTTGCGTGATTCCCGTACGTGCAGGTCGTTTGTGCCTTACTCCAGGGTCAGGCTCCCCCCCGGTCCATGCAAGTAAACTTGCCGGAGTCTAAAAAACGACCAGGCTCTGACGACCACCACAGCCCCAAGCTCTGCCTCGGCGTCGGACAGCGGCATCGACTGCACACCAGGCCACACTTGCTGCCGCGCGCGCCGCATCGGCTCCTGCCCCCGTGCTCTGACGCGGGTGGTGCCCTGCTCCTCCCGCGAGCCGTGCGAGGCGTGTCGCGCCACCCGGAGGGAGGCGGAACGCCCACTCTGCCCCTCCGCGCTGCCGCACCCTGCCCACACACACACATCCGCCGAGATGGTCTTTCCAGCCCCATCCGCGGCCCCCCAGAGGTCCCGACCCCTTCCCCCGGGGGGGGCTTCTCGCCCCGGATCCCTTCTGGACGGCCCCTGGGCCCGACAGCGGGCCCCGGCTGCCGATGAAATCCAGCAGCATCCGCCTGCCTGCACAGATCCGATCCTCGGATCCTCTGGGCAGGGTCCCTGGGATCTCTGGGATCTGTGACATCCTCGGATCTCTGGGCAGGAATATCCTCGGACGTCTGGGAACATCCAGGAAGATCCTCGGACCCTCTGGGCAGGGTCCCAGGCCCCTCGAGCCACGAACACGAGACCACGAACGGAACTTCCTGGCTGCCTGCGGCCTCTGCGGGCCCTTGCGGGGCGTCGGGGCCGTCAAGACCCGATACGGGATGAAGAGACCAGCCCCCGGGGAACGGGCATCTCCTGAGATCCGACGTGGCCACAAAACTTGCAACACCGTACAAAATTACCACCAGAGCCGGGGACCCCATCTTTCTGTGCCATTCTTTCGAGCCAGATCGTTTGTGAGGGCCCCGGGGCCCGAAATCGAGCGAAAACGCCCATGGCGGAACCATTGCAACACGCGAGGATCTCAGGGTCGCCGAGCCTCTTGCCCCCCTTCCCGCGAGGGGGGGATGAGGTGCTCGGACGTGCTCGGCCCTCCCCGCCGAAGGGGCACCTCCGGGGGGTCGGGGTGCACGTCGCTCGTTTCTAATCGTGCTCGTTTCTAATTGCGCTCGTTTCTAATTGTTCCTGGCCCGCTAGTGGCCAGGAAGAGGCCCAGGATAGAACGGTTAGAAATGAAAGGTTCTTGGGCCCCGCAGAGAATCAAAGAGCTTTCGAATAATGTGTATGCACATGTGCGGAGGCCGGAGCACAGCCCTACGCGCCGGCGCGCCGCCTCCTCCCCGTGTGCCCCCCTCCTGGCACGGCCTGCGCCACACCTGCGCCACACCTGCGGGCTCCTGCGGGCGCTGCCTGCGTGGTCTTGCCGTCCTCTCTCCTGGCGGCTGCTGCTGTGACCGTTTTTTTTTTTTTTTTTTTTTTTTTTTGTTTTCTACTGATCTGCCACCTTGCCCCAGTTTTTCCCTACCTAGGCTCTGCCTAGAAGGGTTCTTCCTCTCTATCTTAAAGGGGCCGGGCAATGGAAACTGCCCCGGGCGGTTCCCCCGGTATCCGCCCCGCGGTTCCCCCAGTTACGTCCCCTTAGCTTAGCGTTGCTTATCTCATCTTAGCTTAGCTGATTTCATCTTAGCTTAGCTTAGCTTAATCTTAGTTCAGGTTTATCTTACTTAGCTTACCTTCATCTTAGCTTCGCTGAGCTTTAGCATAGCAGAGCACAGCATAGCAAAGCGTAGCATAACATAGCGCAACACAGCATATCATAGCATAGCCCAGCATAGCATAGCGCAGCATAGCATAGCATAGCACAGCGCAGCACAGCATATCACAGCGCAGCATAGCATAGCATAGCATAGCATAGCATATCACAGCGCAGCATTACATAGCGTAGCTTAGCATATCATAACATAGCATAGCGCAACATAGCATAGCATAGCATAGCATATCATATCATAACATAGCATAGCACAGCATAGCATGGCATATCATAACATAACAACTAATGCTGCTTTCCTAGGGGCTCCAACTTCTAGGTATGGTCGCACTGGGGTAATTTTTGTTTCCTCTCCCTCTCTCTCTTTTTTTTTTTTTTTTTTCTCTCTCTCTCTCTCTCTCTCTCTCTTCTGGAACGCAACAAAAGAGCGCCAACGAGAGAAGCGTGACCTGCATAGTGTTCCTCGCAGACGCTGCGGCCACTTGGCTCGAGAAGGGGCAACAGGTAAAAGAGGAGGACGACCAGGGGACATGGAGGAGGAGGATGAGGAGGAGGAGGAGGAAAACCAGTTGAGACAACGGCGACCGACCTTCCCGCCCGGCTCAAATCCGCTCAAGATCGGCCCTTGGACCCCTTCAAGGGCCCATGGAAGAGGAGGCGGCGAAGGAGGACCAGTGCAAAACAAAGACTTATTCTCCCTCCAAGCTCCCTCATCCTAGGCCCATACAATGGCTCCAAGCTCCCTCATCCTAGGCCCATGCAATGGTTGATTTCCACTGAGGAATCCGCCTCGTTGGGAGACAACCCTTTGAGGACCCTGAAGCGTGCCAAAACACCATTCTCGGGAATCTAAAGCCACGCATCAACATGGCTGTTGCGTCTTGGTGATCCGGGATCGTGCCAGAACATCATTCCTGGACTTCAACACCGCGAATCAACATAACTGTGGCGCCCTCGCAATCCTGAGCCCTTCCCAAAAACCGTGCCTGGCACGTTGGCCATGGGAACCTGTGAAACTCCTGTGAATTCTCACAACGAATGTGCGCGGCGCGAAAGCGATAACCACATTTTCAAAAACGACACGCCCTCAATCCGTGAAGCTCTTACACATTTTGAAAACGAATGTGCGCGGCGCGAGAGCGAGAACCGCATTTTGAAAACGACCCACCCTCAATCCGTGAAAATCTTGCACATCTTAACAACAATGCGCGCGGCGCTAAGGCGAGAACCGCATTTTGAAAACGACCCGCCCTGAATCCGCGAAGCTGGTGCCAATTTTTACGCTTCATGGTCATCATTGGTGAGGCGAGCTCATGCGAAACACCTGGCCCATCCTTTCGACTGGCCTCGGGTTGCAACAGGGAGGGTGTATGTATATGGAACTGGAATGGAGGAGGATGACGAGGAGAATGAGGACGAGGATGTAGAGGATGAGGGGGAACATAGGCAAACCCCTCGGACTTTTCCTCGGGCGTCCCGACCAACTTTCTGAGCTGCGTCTGGACTCGGCGACGGGGATTCTTTAAAAGGGGTTCAGGATGGGCCGGTAACGTGTAAGAGTTTTATTGCTCGATTCTCTCTTTCTCTCCCTGCTCCTCCTCCTACCCCTCCTCCTACTTCTCCTCTTCCATCTTATCCTTTCACCTCTTCCTTCCCAATTCTCTCTCGTTCCTCCTCCTCCTCCTCCGCCTCCTCCTTCCTCCTCCTCCTTCACCCTTCTCGCCCTCCTCCTCCCTCCTCCTCCTCCTCCTCCTCCTCCTCCTCCTCCTCCTCCTCCTCCTCCTCCTCCTCCTCCTCCTCCTCCTCCTCCCTCCCTCCCTCCCTCCCTCCCTCCCTCCCTCCCTCCCTCCCTCCCTCCCCCTCCTCCTCCGCCTCCTCCCTCCCCCTGCTCCCACCTCCACCCCTCCACCCCCGTCCACCCTCCGCCTCCTCTCTCCTCGAGGGTATCATGACGAGGAGGTCCTGACCGCACTCGGGTGGCAACCTCCAGGGGCCAGGGGGTCCCGCTGCGGCGGAGCCGGCCGTCCGTGGGGGGCAGGTGCGGTGCAGACCGGATCCAGACTATTACCGTCCAGCGCAGGGCGGGGATCGAGGTTCGAGGAGGAGGTAGAGGATGAGGAGGACAGGGGGGAGGGATGGAAGGATGCTGAGGCGGGATTGATCGAAGGTGGTGATGTTGAGGGAAGGATTGGACGGATTAGGGAGGGGATGGAGGGAGAAGGGGGGAAAGCTTAGGAGGCAGAGAAGGGAACGTTGTTGTTGATGATGATGATAATGATCCTGCTGCTGTTGATCATGATGATGCTGCTGCTGTTGAAGATGATGGTGATGGTACTGATGATGATGCTGATGATAAGGATGCTGATAATGAGGATGATGATGGAGATGATGATGATGCTGATTATGATGAGGATGCTGACAATGAAGATGCTGTAGATGATGATGATGATGATGATGATGATGATGATGATGATGATGATGATGATGATGATGATGGTGATGAGGAGGAGGAGGAGGATGATTATGGTGATGATGGTCATGCTGATGGTGGTCGTGGTGGTGATAATGCTGATTGTGGTGATGCTGCTGCTGCTGCTGCTGATGATGATGATGATGATGATGATGATGAGGATGGTGATGCTGATGCTGGTGATGGTAATGGTGATGATGAGAATGATTCCCCAATCAGAGCTTGCCTCTGTAGGGGTTTCAGCGGATTCATATGGTTAGGTCAGGTACGGCGCCGATTTCGGCGGCACGCCCGGGTGCACGGGTGCCCCGGTGCCCAAGTGCCCGGGTGCCTGGGTGCCCTACAGCCCTATTGCCTTGTGGCCTTATAGCCCTACAGCCCTATAGCCCTATAGATCTATAGCCCTATAGCTCTGTAGCCCTCTAGCCCTATAGCCCAATAGCCCTATAGCCCCATAGCCCTATAGGCCTATATCCCTATACCCCTACAGCCTCTTAGCCCTATAGCCCTATTGCCCTGTAGCCCTATAGCCCAATAACCCAATAGCCCTGTAGTCTTATAGCCCTATAGCCCGATAGCCCTATATCCTTCTAGCCCTAGAGCCCTATAGCCCTATAACCCCATAGCCTTATAGCCCTATAGGCCAATAGCCCTATAGCCCTATCGCCCTATAGCCCTATAGCCCTATAGCCCTATTGCCCTATAATCTTATAGCCCTATAGCTCTATATATGCCTTTAGCCCTCTAGCCCAATAGCCCTATATACCTATAACCCTGTGGTCCTATAGCCCTATAGCCCTACAAATATTATGATTGGGCGTTTTCCGGTATCATTCTTTTTTCCAGAGTTAGGCCCGCATGATAGGAGGAGGGAGGAGGGAAGGATCGAAGGAAGGAGGGGGGGCAGACATCGGCCGAGCAGGCCCGCCCCAGGGGGGCAAGCGGTGCCCCCTCCTCTCTCCCTGCGCACCCCCCTCCGTCGAGGCCGAGGGGGCACCACGGCAAGAGTGGGGCCACCGCCCTCGTCCTGTCGCCGAGCAGCTCTACAGGGCTGCGCTCCCCAGGAGCCTCCCGCGAGTGGCGCCCTCGGGGCGGTCCCACGGGGCGGCCCTGTGGGCCGAAGGAAGGCACGCACGCTGCAATGCCCAGCATCAAGTCAAAGCCCCCCTCCCTCCTCCTCCTCCTCCTCCTTCTCCTCCTCCTCCTCCTCCATCCTCCCTTCACCCCTCCATCCATCCTCCATCCTTCCTCCCTCCCTCCATCCTCCATTTTTCATCCATGCTCCTCCCCCCTACCCTCTCCTTTATCCCCGAATTTAGAACATACATGTTCTTGACAGTTCTGACCTTCTTGGCCCTTCTGGGGCGCCCCCGTGGCCATAGCTGAAGCAATCCGAAACTCTGTTCGGAACGCTCCCAAGCCTCCAACGTCGTCGTTGGGGTCGTTTCGAAGGTTTTGGGCCTTTCCTGCAATTTTCGTGGCCACGGCTGGATGCCTCTCGGAACATTGGCCAGGACGGACCCTGGGAGATGTCAGGGGAGCGATCTCGATATTATTTTGAAACAATACCTGGACCTCGAACTTCTGGAGGTGGTTTTTGTATGCGGAAGGTCGCTCTGGTTTTGACTGGGAGCCCTGGCTCATAGGGTGCCGAAGCGACCGTGGCGTATAATGACGATCCATTTATTAGGTGATGCAGTCTCGCGCCGCTCCGTCCCAACTGCAAGAGCTGCAACACATCGGGCTGACGCGCCCCGCTCCTAGACTGATGAGCCCCGCGCCTATTTGAGCTCCATATCGAATGCGGCGCTCAGCTCGTCCTCCAGAAAACCCCCGTACTTGCAGAGGGCACTGCGCACCGTCTCCAGTCGCTTGGGCTCCCAGATCTGCTGGTGTGGGAGGTATGCGCCGCTGTCAGCTTCTATAGACTTGAGCAGCTCGCATAAGGCCTCAAAAGCGCTGGTGGGATCCAGCGAGGTCAAAATCTTGTCGACGTTGCCCCACCACTGCTGCCAATTCCAGCCCACGCGGGACCAACCCCACTCTGACGTTGGCGATTTCGGGAAGATCAGGAGCAGAAATCGTACAATGCAGCTGTTCTGGTCCGCGCCGCACTCGAAGACAGCCGAGAGAGCTTCCTCCACTGCCTTCACCTTGCAGCGGTGCCCCTTCGTCAGCTCCGCGAGGATGTCTGGAACCGTGTCGGCCAGTTCAGACTCCATGCCAACCTCCACAATGGTCTGTACAACTATCTTTTGCATGTCGATCGGTATGTTCATGGCAGCCCAGACTTCGTGCCAGATCCTCCAGACCCTCTGGGATCACCAGGCGTACGAGGTTCTGGTGCTGGCGGCTCTACCTCGGGGGCCCCCGAAGGCGGAGAATGGCGATGCACGATGGGCTCTGTGGCTGAGATCTGTGTGTGTGTGTGTTTGCTGCTGATGGCGCACACGGAATATGCGGAGAGTCCCCTGAGGGCCTGGCCGCGCGCGCACCTCATTTGACTTTTTATCTGCCTCGACGCTGCGCGCGAGGCCGCGATCGCAAAAAAGTGTGTGTGTGTGCTTATGTGTGTATGTGTGTGTGTGTGTGTGTGTGCGCGCGTGCGTGCGTGCGTGCGTGCGTGCGTGCGTGTGTGTGTGTGTGTGTGTGTGTGTGTGTGTGTGTGTGCTTGTGTGTGTGTGTGTGTGCTTGTGTGTGTGTGTGTGTGTGTGTGTGTGTATGTGTGTGTGTGTGCGCGTGCGTGCGTGCGTGCGTGCGTGCGTGCGTGCGTGCGTGCGTGCGTGTGTGTGTGTATGTGTGCGTAAATGTGTGTGTGTGTGTGTATTTGTGGGTCCGTAGCCGTTGGCTCAAGCCGTCTGTGGGCTCGAGCACGCCCCTGGCTCAGGCACGGCGCTCCGGCCCGGCGCGGATGGAGACCGCCGCGGCGCGGCACCTCCTGGCCTGCCGCCGCCGCCGCGGCGGCCGAATGGCCGTCTCCGCGGCTGGCCGCGGCGGCGCCGCGGCGACCGCCGCTGCCGTGGCGCGTGCCGCCGCCTTGTCGCCTCCGCCGCCAGTGTTGCGGCCGCGGCCGGCCGCGCGGCGGCCTGCACTGCCGCCGGCGCCGCGGGCACCGTGGTGGGCGCCGCTTGGGGCGCCGCGGGCGCCGTGGGCGCCGTGGGCGCCGCCTGCGCCGCGGGCCCCGCCGGAGCTGCGGCGGCCGCGTGTGCCGCGGGCGCCGGGGGCGCTGGGCGGCGTGTCCGCGGAGTCGGCGCCCGAGCGGGCTGGGCACCCTCCTGCGGACTGGACAGTCCCGTTCGACTCGCTCGAGGTCGGCCAGGAGTCCCAAGGGGCCGTGCGCTCCGTGCGGGACTTCGGCGCCTTCGTGGACATCGGGGACGAGGGCGACGGGCTGCTGCACATCTCCGCCACCTCTACGGACAGGATCGAGGACATCTCCTCGGCGCTCAAAGATGACCAGGAGGTCAAGGTCTGGATCCTGTTGAGAGCATCGGCGCCAACATCGTCGTCAGCACAGCCTCGATCACCGCGCCGTCTTCCTTGCCGCCGCAGCCGAGAGCGTTGCCAGTATCCTCGTCAACGCAGCCTGCATCGCTGGTGCAGCGGGATCCTCGGTTCTAGTGTCCTCGTGAGCACAGCCTGGAACGCTGATGCTGCTATCCTCGCCATCGCTGCCGAGAGCATCGACGCCAGCATCTTCGCCATCGCAGCCTGCATCAGCAGCACCATAACCCTCGAGGCATGCGCCTCCTCGCCAACGCTCCCAGGAGGCGCGCTCCGCTGGGTACAAATTTCGCCATCATCCTCGAGGCAGGTGACTCCTCGCCTGCAGCGGGGCCGTTCCGCGCAGGGGGAGGGGGCGCCCGCAGCTCCAGACTGGATGGGTATGGCGGCCTTTCGGCCTTCAAAGGCTTCGAAAAGGAACCGCTCTCATTCCGACTCCGTTTCGCTCCTCCGTTATCCCTCTCTCTCTGTTTCTGTCTCTCTCTCTCTCTTCTCTCTCTCTCTCCCCCTCTCTCTCTGTCTTCCTCCTCCTCCTCCTCCTCCTCCTCCTCCTCCCCCTCCTAATCAGAATCCCCTTTGCGGAGCAGAATCAAGCAACACCCTTGGAAAAACCAAACAAAAAACAAAAACAATCCCAAAAACCAATCCCGAGGCGAGATTCGGGAGCGAGGGGGGGGGGGGGAAGGTCTCCTCAGGATTTTTTTTTTGTTTTTTTTGTTGTTTTTGTTCTTTTTGTTTTTTTGGTTTTTCCAAGGGTTCTGCTGGAATCCGCCCCGATAATGGAATCCGATTGGGAGGAGGAGGAGGAGGAGGAGGAGGAGGAGGAGGAGGAGGAGGAGGAGGAGGAGGAGGAGGAGGAGGAGCGGGAGGAGGAGGAGGGGGAGGAGAAGGAGGAGAGGAGGAGGAGGAGGGAGGAGGAGGAGGAGCAGGAGGAGGAGGAGGAGGAGGAGGGGGAGGAGGAGGAGGAGGAGGAGGAGGAGGAGAGGGAGGAGGAGGAGGAGGAGGAGGAGGAGGAGGAGAGGAGGAGGAGGAGGAGGAGGGAGGAGGAGGAGGGGAGGAGGAGGAGGAGGAGGAGGAGGAACGACGCTATACACCTGGTTTTGCGAGTAATGAGTTCCTCCTCGATTCCGTCATGCTCCTCGCCCTCCTCTTCCTCCTCCTACTCCCCCTGCTCCTCTGCCCTCCTGCTTCTCCTGCTCCTCTTCATTCTGCCTCCTCCTCTCCGCTTCGAGGCGATACTCGCAAATCTAGTTGTGAACGTAGCTGCACAACTAGTTTTGCGAGGAACCTGCCGCTACGAAACATTACTCGCAAGACTACTTGCGAACGACGTTCCACAGCTAGTTTTGTGGGTAATGAGTTCCTCCTCGATTTCGTCATGCTCCTCGCCCTCCTTTTCCTTCCTCCTCCTAAATACTCCTCCTGCTCCTCCGCCCTCCTGCTCCTCCCGCTCCTCTTCATTCTGCCCCCTCCTCTCCGCTTCGAGGCGACACTCACAAATCTAGTTGTGAACGCAACTGCACACCTAGTTTTGTGTGGAACCTCCCGCTACGAAACAATACTCGCAAAACTAGTTGCGAATAACTCTCCGCAACTAGTTTTGTGAGTAACGAGTTCCGCCTCGCTTTCGTCATGCTCCTCACCCTCCTCTTCTTCATCATCCTGCTCCTCCTGCTCCTCTGCCCTCCTGCTCCTCCTGCTCCTCTTGATTCTGCCCCCTCCTCTCCGCTTCGAGGCGATACTCGCAAATCTAATTGTGAACGCAACTGCACAACTAGTTTTGCGAGGAACCTCCCGCTACGAAACATTACTCGAAAAACTAGTTGTGAACGACGCTCCACACCTAGTTTTGACAATAAGGAGTTCCTCCTCGATTCCGTCACGCTCCTCACCCTTCTCTTCTTCCTCCTCCTACTCCTCCTGCTCCCCTGCCCTCCTGCTCCTCTTCATTCTGCCCCTTCCTCTCCGCCTCGAGGCGATACTCACAAATCTAATCTAGCTGTGAACTCAGCCGCACAACTAGTTGTGCGAGGATCTGCTCTTTTCCCATCGTAATATGATCACACACTTGATCAAATTCAATTGGAATTCTTTGGATCTGAGACCTGCCCCGTTCCTGTTCAAATCCAAGTAGCATCCTATTCAAATCCAATGAAAACCCTTCGGATTTAGGAGATGCTCCGTTCCTATTGAAATCCGATTAGGGTCCTATTCAACTTCAATAGGAATCCTTTGGATATGGGATCTGCTCCGTTTCTAGTGAGGTTTCCTTCGGATCCCATCCAAATTCAATATGAATCCTCTGGCTCCCGCCTGAAAGGTCCCCCAACAAGCACTCAAAACGAGGCTCCCGCCTGAGAGGTCCAAACAAACATTCAAAAAGGTCCAGACAAACAAACAAACACACGACAACATACAACACGCAACGGACAGCTCCTTCCTCGTCCCCCTCTCTGAATCTGGGGTCTGGTCCTGGCCTATTGAATTCCTATTTGAATCCCTTTCAAATTCACAATTCTTTGAATTCCTATCTGAAGATGGAAATCCTCTGGGTCTCCTATCTGCTCCATTTCTGTTGACTTTCCAGTTGGGTTCTCTTCAAATCCAATGGGAATTATCTGGATCTGGGGCCTGCCCCATTCATATCGAATTCCTACTTGAATACTATGCAAATCTAATTGAACTTCTCTGGATCTGGGGTATGGTCATGTCCTATTGAATTCCTCATTGAACCCTATTCAAATTCACGTAGGACCCATTGGATTTGGAATCTACTTAAATTCTTTGAATTTCAATGTGCATCCTATTTACATGGATTTGAATTATCTTGATCTCGGATCTGCTCCGTTTCTGTTGGCACTCCCAAAGGTTCTCTTCAAATCCAATTGGAATTCTTTAGATCTGGGATCTGCCCCATTCATATCAGATTCCTATGTGAGTTCTATTCAAATCTAGTTGAAAATCTTTGGATAGGAGGAGGAGAAGGAGGAAGAGGAGGAGGAGAAGGAAGACGGAGCAGGAGGGAGGATGAGAGGAGGATGAGATGAGAGGAGGAGGAGTGGAGAAGAGAAGTGGAGCAGCGAGAGCGGTTCCTGTTCAAAGCCTTTGAAGGCCGAAAGGCCGCCATACCCATCCAGTCTGGCGCCGCGCCCGCGTCGTTGCGAGAGAGCTGGGGCTGCCTGAGCGGTCGCTCTCCCCCGCCTCGGGGCCCTCCCGCGCAGGGGGGAGCGATCTCGCTGCGTTCCCCCCCTCCCCAGCAGGCGCGGCCTGCTCAAAACCCCTAGTCTCCGCCGCTGCTGCCCCGCCCTCCCTTGCGCTCGCCGCGGCCCCAGCGACTCTGAGCCTCTCCAACCTCTTTCCTCTGCAGGCTGAATCGCCAGCGCCGCCAAGCTTGCCAGCGCTGCCGAAGCATCGGCGCCAGCTTCCTCCCCAGCACCGTCTGGATCGCCGGCGCCACCGACCCCGCGCGGCAGCGATTTGCCGAGTGGATCGGTGTCAGCATCCTCGTCAGCACAGCCCGGGTCGCTGAGGCCAGCATCCTCGGCGGCGCCGTCGACAGCACCGACGCCCGCGTCCTCGCCACCGCTGCTGGCGCCGCCAACGCCATCATCCTCGCCAGTGCAGTCGAGATCATCGAGGCCCTTCCCCCCCTCAGCACCGCCTGGATCACTGGCCCCATCTATCTCGCCAGTGCGGAGGCGAGCATTGTCAGCACCCTTGTCTGCGCGGCCTGGATCGCTGGCGCCATCACCCTCGCCAGCGCAGCCGATAGCTTCGATGACGGCATCCTCGCCACCACAGCCTGGATCGCCAGTTCCAGCACCCTCGCCAGCGCGGCCGGAGAGCTTCGATGACGGCGT